CCACCTCGTCTAGCAGCAAAAGACATCTTATTCAAAGTATATGTTGTTGGCTCACTAGCAGTGACCTCACAGCCAACAGCACTATCACTCATGCCCAAACAAATCTTTCTCTGACACACATTTACTTCCTAACATACACTGAAGCCTTTTCGCACTTTGAAACAATAGATAGCACTTCAACAGAGGTTTGAGTGTATGTGGGGGGATTTCCAGTGATAAAATCACCCACAAAAAGCACAATGTGGAAAATACTATACTAAACAGAGGATGAAAAGGACACTTGTTAATAGTATAAGAGCTGAAAGAGAGCTGAATATCGCCTCATTGGACCTCAGCTGGGAATGTGCAAATTTGTCTCTGCTCTGGGCATGCCCACAATCAACCATCTTGTGTGTGTGTGTGTGTGTGTGTGTGGTGTGTTGCTGGAGACTGAACCAAGGACCCTGAGCAAATGCTTCACCATTGAGCTACACTCCCAGCCTGAATCGCAAGTATTGATTTGAGGGTTACAAATAAATTTTGGCAAGTAGGCAGACTTGCAAATATGGAATCAGTGAATAAGGAGGATCAACTATGTACTATTATCTTTGCCATTTTACAGATGGGAAAACCAAAAGCTCAAAATGGTTAAGTGGCTTTGATGCTCAATAAATATTTATTAAGTGCTAATTTTGTGGCAGGCACTCTTCTAGGCTTGCTCAAGTTCACACAGCTAGTAGGTAGTGGAGTTAGGAATCTGTTCCAGCTATCTGACTCCAGAATCCAGCTTCTTAAGCAGAATGCTGTCCTGAGCACACAATGATATTTTCCAATTGGACCCCATGAGGTGGAGTCTGGGCAACTGGGCACAGGGGAAGTTCTCAGGAAGTGTGTTATTCCTACAGTTCTTACTGTCACTGGGGAGCCCTGCCACTTCCCCTTCCAGTACCATCGGCAGTTGTACCACAAATGTATCCACAAAGGCTGGCCAGGCCCCAGACCCTGGTAAGGTTCCCCAACGGGGGTTGGAGCAGGGGTCTGGGATCCGTGGAATTTGCCCCTTGTTCTGTCCAAGAAACCCTGCTTGGAGAGAGGAAGCTAGGGGTGGGGTGGGGCTAGCCTCCAGGGCAAAGCAGGAGAGCCTGTGTTTCTGCAGGTGTGCTACCACCCCAAACTTTGATCAGGACCAGCAATGGGCACACTGCCTGGAGCCCAAGAAAGTGAAAGGTACTGCACACAAACTCTGGGTGGCCCAGGACCCTCTACATCCCCCTAATTCCTCTCCTGGCTATCATCAGATCCCACATGCCTGGGATTCTGGGCCTGGTCCCTCTTCTCCCTCAATAATACCTCTCAGAATCTCAGAGGGAGAGTTCTGGGAAGGAATAGCCTCATTTTGCAGATGAATAAACTAAGGCTTGGAAAACTGGAGTCTCAATGATCTATGACAAATAGGTTCAGGTAGGGACTTGGCCCCCACCTGTGTGAGTTGGGCTCCTCATTCCATCTCTCAGACCACTGCAGCAAACACAGCCCCTGCCACAAAGGAGGGACATGTGTGAATATGCCGAAAGGACCACACTGCCTCTGTCCGGAACACCTCACTGGGAAGCACTGCCAGAAAGGTAAGGAGGTGCTGTCTGCCAGGGGAGGGGACACTGAGGAACAGAGGCAGCCCCAGGCCTGCTGAAGAGGTCTCCGTATCCCTGGAGACTTGTCATGATCCCAGCCTCTCTGGAGACCTAGCCCTTTTGTCCCCAGAGAAGTGCTTTGAGCCTCAGCTTCTCCGGTTCTTCCATGAGAATGAGATATGGCTTAGATCTGGGCCAGAAGGTGTGGCCAAATGCCACTGCAAAGGTCCTGATGCTCACTGCAAGCCACTGGCCAGCCATGGTAAGAGGATTGATTGGGAGCTGACTGTGGAGGAGGGCTGATCAAGAGATTGGTGGGAGGCTGGGTGGTGTGCCTAGGGGTGGCTCAGTTTGCTCCTTCCCCCAGCCTGCCACACCAACCTGTGCCTCAATGGGGGCCGCTGCCTGGAGGCCGAAGGACAAAGCCTGTGCCATTGCCCAGTGGGCTATACCGGACCCTTCTGTGACTTGGGTGAGTGCAGGGCTCAAGGCAAGCAGGAAGTCAGCCCCCATGTGGGAAGGGCATGACAGAGAAGGGCAGAGGAGAATGGAAAAGTGGACAAGATCCTTCCCCTAGCTTCAGGAAGCCCCTTCACTCCCTAGATGTTGAGGCAAACTGCTACCATGACCGTGGGCTTAGCTACCGTGGCAAGGCCAGGACCACTCTCTCTGGTGCAACTTGTCAGCGGTGGGACTCCGAGGCCACCTACAGGAATGTGACTGCGGAGCAAGCACTAAGCCGGGGACTGGGTCACCACACCTTCTGCCGGTGCACTGACTGGATGGGGCGGGGAAGGGCAACCCGTTCCAGCGTAGGGCCCTGGGGAGCTCCCTCACTCTCTAACAATGCCCTCTCTTGAGATTGCAGGAACCCGGATAATGATACCCGCCCGTGGTGCTTTGTCTGGAAAGGTGACCGGCTGAGCTGGGAGTATTGCGACTTGGCACAATGTTGGGCCACAATCCAGGCAGCACCTCCACTCATGGACACCCTTGGGCGTCAGGACCTGCCTATGCCCCAGCCTTCAGCACTGCAAAAGCCTCAGCCCACGACCCAGTCCCCGCCTCATTCCCGGACCCCAGGTAGTTAAGTTAGAAAGAGCAAAGAAGTCCGAGCAAAGAGGGCGCAGAGCCAGCTAGATTCCGGGCCAGCCAGCCATAGGTCTCCCAGTCCTCAGCCTGGGCTCTTCCTACAGCTCCCTCGAAGCAGCCAACTCGCCTGTCTAGGACCAGTCCTCCCAGCTGCGGACAGCGGCTCCGGAAGAGCTTGTCCCCGCTGAGTCGAGTTGTCGGCGGACTAGTGGCGCTGCCCGGGGCACATCCCTACATCGCAGCGTTGTACTGGGGCGACAGTTTCTGCGCCGGCAGCCTCATCGCCCCCTGCTGGGTGCTGACCGCGGCTCACTGCCTGCAGAACCGGCGAGTACCCGCCCGCCCAGCGCCCCTTGGGGAACCCTAGCCCGCTCCTTTATCCTGACCCCAGTTTCTGCGCCACGCCTGAACCTGTACCCTATTTCCCCCGCTCCTCTGGAGCTCCCTTGAAAGGAGCTGAAATCGGGGAAAAGGTTCCAGAGCAGGATGCTCCCCCAGCACGCCTGTGGCTGGCTGTGAGCACGATGCCTCTCCCCCACTCCCCGCCCGCAGGCCGGCACCGGAGGACCTGACGGTGGTGCTCGGCCAGGAACTCCACAACCAGACCTGTAAGCAATGCCAGACGCTGGGCGTGCGCTCCTACCGCCTCCACGAGGCCTTCTCGTCCAACACCTATCAGCACGACTTGGGTGCGTGGGGGCGCTGCTGCGGGGTTGGGGACAAAGTGTGGGAAGGTCTCAGGTCCCAGGGCCTCCTCCTAACTAACGTTCTTGCCGACCGGGTTAGCTCTGCTGCGCCTTCAGGAGAGCGCGGATGGCAGCTGCGCGCGTCTCTCACCTTATGTTCAGCCAGTGTGCCTACCCAGCGGCACCGCCCAAACCTCCGAGCCCGAGGACATGCTTTGCCAAGTGGCGGGCTGGGGCCACCAGTACGAGGGTACGCACAACACCTGGGGGCGAGCGGGAAAGCTTTGGACACAGGAATAAGCCAGAGAAGCCCTCAACTGTGGCAGAAGAAGCTAGACCTGACGGGCTGTGAAAGCGTGCAGGGTCCTTGTCCCTGTAGTCCGCTCTTCCCAGAGTTTGGTATTCACTGTTAAGGTCCCCACATCTCTTGGGGAGACAGGGAGAATCGACTTTCTCCTGGTTCCCTCTGGGTGGTGCTGGGCTGCAAGGACTTACTAGGATACCGTCCCAGCTTTGGAGCAGCGAGCAAACTACTTGGATAGCCAAGTTCTGAGACACTGGATGGGAGGGACAGGTGGTGTTCCTGATTCGGCCCCGCCCATTCAATTCCTGGCTCCTCTCTGGGCCTCTGTTTCCTTGCCTGAGAAATTGAGTTAACGGCATTTCCTTCCCCCTCGGGCTTGCTGTGAGGGAGGAAGGGTAACGGTGGGGGCAGAAGCCTGGTGCAGGCCAGTGCTCTAAGAAAATCTGCTCTGGGTTTTCAGGGGCGGAGGATTATTCCACCTTCCTGCAGGAGGCGCAGGTGCCTTTCATCTCTCTGGAGCACTGCTCCGCCTCTGAAGTGCACGGGGATGCTATCCTCCCTGGAATGCTCTGCGCTGGCTTCCTCGAGGGTGGCACAGACGCGTGCCAGGTGAGTCCTGAGGCCTGGCTGGTGCCTTCCCCGGCCAGTCAAGCTCAAGGCTAAGGAACTGAACTGCGTGTTCCCGACACAGGGTGATTCCGGGGGCCCTCTGGTGTGTGAGGACCAGGCTGCAGAGAACCGGCTCACCTTGAGAGGCGTCATCAGCTGGGGCTCCGGATGTGGCGATCGCAACAAGCCCGGCGTCTATACGGACGTGGCCAGCTACGTGACTTGGATCCAGGAGCACATAGCTTCCTAACTACCCAGGGATTCGTCTTTCTCTCCTAGTGGGAGGGTGGCTGGGTAATGAACACTGACTAAAGATTGTGCCACATTCCTCCCAGTGCCACCAGCCAGGTGCCAGGGGCACAGAAACTCAATAAAGTGCTTTGAAAATGCCCTTGGGGGTCGCCTTTGGAAATGTCAAGAGAATAAACCTGCACACAGCTCCTCCCCTGCCCTCACAGAACAGGATCTGTGAGATCTTAACATGAGAGATTTGAGATTCTTGTCCAAGTCATGTTTACCGCGTACCAATACCTATGCAAGGTGACTGCTATTCCTCATAAGGTACTGAAACTTTTAAGCTTACAGAACAACTGTTCTCAGCTTTGACTATTCACATCGGGATCATCTGGGGAATTTTGAGCCTAACTACTATGCTCAAGATCCACCTGAGACCAATTAAATCTGTATCTCTAGGAATGGGATGAGTAGTGGTATGTTTTAAAAACTCAGATGATTTCACGTTCAGCTGAGATTAAGAACAATGGTTAGAAATGTTTAATACTAAAACAGTGGTGTGGACCCCAGCCCTGGGAACTTGGAATACCCACCCAAACTCTCACCAGGGCAGCAGCCTCACCAAGGGATTTATTAGACAAGGACGTTCTTAGGCTACATTCTATACTAGAAACTCCAGGGTGGGACTCAGCAATCCCGCAGCCTTCCAGGGTTTTGGATGTTCTCTGAATCTTGAGAACGCCATCTAGGGATCCAATGTTTTCCTTACAGGCTGAGAAATCCGGTCCAGACATGCATCTTTTTTTTTGTTCTTAAACCCATCTTTTAAGTGGGCCATTTAAGTTGGTTTTTCGAGGGTCTCTGGAGTCCTGGATTCCATCCTACAAGCTAACTTTAGAACTTCAACTCGTGTAATACGTGAAAGCCCCCACATTCTCCAGCCTAGGTAGACTCTCTGTGACGTCGCCTCATGCCACACGTGGCGTAGTCTCCTGCCACGGCCCCGCCCCCGCTTTCGTCACAGCGCCGCAGGCGTCCTAGCCCTCGGCACAGCAGGACATCCCTCCTAAGGGCGAGACGGAGGGACGCACTGAGCAGGATGGGTGACTGGAAGGGCTACATCAGTGCAGTGCTGCGAGACCAGCGCATCGACGACGTAGCCATCGTGGGCCACTCGGACAATCGCTGCGTGTGGGCATCGCGACCCGGGGGCCTGCTGGCTGCCATCTCGCCGCAGGAGGTGGGCGTGCTTGTTGGGCCCGACCGGCAGGCCTTCCTGCAGGCGGGCCTGAGTTTGGCGGGCCGCCGCTGCTGCGTCATCCGCGACTATCTGCTGGCAGAGGGAGACGGCGTGCTGGACGCGCGCACCAAGGGGCTGGACACGCGCGCCATTTGCGTGGGCCACACGCCGCGCGCGCTCCTCGTGCTGATGGGCAGACGCGGCGTGCACGGTGGCATCCTCAACAAGACTGTGCACGAGCTGATCCGCGGGCTGTGCACGCAGGGCGCGTAGCAAAACAGCCAGGCCGCCCCAGGTGGTAGCGGGACCAGAATAAACTCTGAATGGTTGTCGTGGGCTCATCCTCTGGTTCTCATGAGGATTTGCAACTACAGAAACCGGTTTATGGGAAGATCCTTGCAAAACAATTCCTAGTGGGGTTGGGGTTATAAATCTAGAGGCTGCCCAGTCTGCTACCCACCCATTCATGGATGCCTTGCAAAGGCCTCTACCTGACTGCTGCTTCTAGGCGCCTTCCAAGATCCTGGGGAGGACCCCACAGTTGAGAAGGAGTCCAAGGAGAGGCCTTCTCTGCCTCAGGCCTTAGATTCATTTTTTCCTACAGAAACCAAATCATCTAGGCAGGACAAACAGTAAAAGGAGTCCCCGTTATTATGTGGAGACCTCTCCCCAGGCACACATCAGCTAGGGCCTGTGGTTTTAGAATTTCAGCCTTGAGGTTAGTGTACAGTATTCCCTCGGTATCCTTGGGGATTGGTTCCTGGACCTCCGTAGGTAATAACATCTTCAGATGCTCAAGTCCCTTACATAAATGACAGTATTTTTTGTACTTCAAGTCATTCTAGATGACTTGTACTGTATGATACAATTTAAATGCTATGGAAATAGTTTCTATACTGGCTTTTTTTCTTTTTTTGCACTGGGAATTGAATCCAGGGGCACCTTACCCCGAGATACATTCCTAGTCCTTTTTAAATTTTTTATTTTTTTTTTGTTGGTGTTGATTGCAGGGGGGTTTATTTAATGAGTGTGCTTCCTCGCCCTTTTTTTTTTTTTTTTTATTTAGAGGGTTGGTTTGAGTTGGTTGGGTCTTGCTTCACTTGCTTTGTGTGGGTTTGTTTTTGCTTTCCTTCTTCCTCCGTCTGCCTCCTTGCTTGGTTTGCTTGCATGTGTTTGCTTGTCTGTCTGGTTCTTTTTTTTTTTTTTTTTTTTTTTTTTTGCCAGAGTCTTGCTAAGTTGCTGAGGTTCTCTCTATGTTGCTGAGCCTGGCCTCAAACTTGCAATCCTCCTGCTCAGCCTCTGGAGTTGCTGGGATTATAGTCATGTACCACCATGCCTGGCTACTATACTATGTTTTTGAGGGATAAGGGTAAAGAAATATATATAAGATCAGTACAGATGTAATTAAAGAATATTTTTCAATCCACAGTGGGCTGAATCAGCAGATGCAAAACCTGTGGATACAGAGGTCCAGGCTGTACTTCCGCCCCTTCCACTTGGTGGAACACCAGCAAACGGTTGTGAATGGGTGACAGGATGGGTGTGGTTGCTTGAGAGCAGTTTTGGAGCTACTAGGCACCTGAGTCTCCCCACCATGCCCCAAAAGAGGGTCCACCGCTGGGCGTGGTGTTACACACTTGTGATCCTAGCAACTCGGGAAGCTCAGGCAGGAGATGGCGAGTTCAAAGCCAGCCTCAGGAATAGTAAGGCACTAAGCAACTCAGTGAGACCCTGTCTCTAAATAAAATAAAAATCAGGGCTGGGGACATGGCTCAGTGGTAGAGTGCTTGCCTAGTATGGCTAAGGCACTGGTGAGGCACTGGGTTCCATCCTCAACACCACATAAAAATAAAGGTACTGTGTCCATTAAAAAAAAAAGACTTCCAAATGCATAATGAAATTTTAATTCCTTTCTCTTTTTCATGTGGCAGGGGTGGAAAAGGATTATAGTGGTGATGCTGAAGCCCTGGATGGGGATGAGGAGACTGGTGTTGTGGGGGAAAGAAGGTGGCACAGAGGGGCTGAAATTCAATCAGTGACTCAGGCACCCACAAATGAGCACAAGCAAACAGCCACACAGTCACCCATTCAGAGCTACCCTTACTCCTGTCTGTGGTAACCAGTCTTGTGTACACAGGGACACAAGTGCAGGCCTCCATGCACACATGCTAAGGACTCAAAATCATACCCAGATCCCCTGGAACCTGCACACAGCCTCCCACTGGTATGTCTTTGCACATGCATGGGATCATACAAGTGTACACAAATACAGGCTTCTCCACCTATACACATAGACACAGACTTACCCCAAACACACGTGCACATGAACACTGCCTCGCAGTCACAAGCCCAGACCTCGATGGACCAGCATAAGGACAGGCACACACACAAGGTGGCATGTACCACATGCATGCGTGCACACACACACACGCGCGCGCACACTCACACACACCTTTGCCCTTCCACGCTGAGCTCTTTCACAGGCTTTTCCCTATTCCAGGAAGTAGTCTGGTCCTGCGGCCTAGAGGCGGGTGGCACTGTGGTGAGCAGGTAGTGCAAGGCGGGGGGAGGGTGTGGCAGGGGGCAGTTCCTCCAGGAAGACCCTGGCAGGCAACTGGGGTGAGCGGGGCTCAGGCCTGGCATAGCACAAGGTGGCACGGGTGATGAGGCGGTCCAGGGGCTGCAGGGAGTGCATCCAGCGGGGCAAGAAGTCCCACGTCTGCAGCCACTTGGGCAGGCGTCCAGGACTTCGACTCTGCAGTATATTGATGAATGCCACAAAGGCCAGCAGGGCCCCAAAAGGTGCACCCACACCTACCATGGCCTGCCAACCTGCCATGGAGATGCCAAACACCAGCGAGGGCAGCAGCAGGAAGCACACGAGGAGATAAAGGACAGCGAACCATCGGTACTTGGCGGTGCGTTTGCCCAGAGCCTTGGCCATGCGGATGGGCAGGCGTGTGCAGGGCAGCGGGTACCACAGCAGGATGCCCGAGATGTTGAAGAAGAAGTGGCAGAGAGCAATCTGCAGGGGAGGAGGGGAGGGGCTGAGGAGGGCAGGGCCTGCCATGTCAGGTCAACAGGGACAGTTATTAAGGAACCCAACCTCATCTGGGCAGCAGGAAAGCCACTATTGAGAGCTGACATGCCTACAAGTGGCGCCAGAGTGACTGCACTGGTTATTAAAATATTAAGATACTTCTGGACTAGTTGGTAAATAACCACTGCCCTGAACTTTGTCCCTACTGACCCCTCTCTCAGGAATTCCCCAACAAATACTGCCAAAATCCAGTGGCCAAAAGATAAATACTAGTTTCTGGCTCACCATTCTGGGCTCTTTATTGGTTAGTGTCTTTTTGGGTGGTTTCTAGAACAATTTCCCCTTTGCCATCTGCCTCTTCCCCCCAACTATACTCATCCATGATCCCCCAGACTGGGCCAGGTCTCCTCTTACAGTACTGTTTTTGATTAAGCCCAGGGGCACTTAGCCACTAAGCCCTAGCCCCAGCCCTTTTTAATATTTTATTTAGAGACAGGGTCTTGCTGAGTTGCTTAGGACCTCTCTAAGTTGCTAAGACTGGCTTTGAACTTGGGATCCACCTGCCTCAGTCTCCTGAGCCACCTGAATAACAGGTGTGGGCCACCACACCCTGCCTTGTCATAGCACTTCTTATATCGCAAGTCCAGCTTGCTATTACTTTTGGTGTGATTATTGAGCAATGTTTCCAATGTCCAGGTCTCGAGGTGGGAATCAAGCCTACTTTCCCATAATGGCTTTCCAGGGATCATTTTGGGTGGCCTCAATATGCAGTCCAAAATATTCGTTATATGTAGTCACACCCATGGTCAGGCCCTGCACCCCAGCCCCAGCCACAGGCAGGGCTGTTCTCCCAACGCACCTGGAAGGAGCTGGATAGCTTCTCCTTGGGGCTGGCCAGTGCAGCCAGGATGGCCGTGGTCGTGGTGCCAATGTTGGAGCCCAGCGTGAGCGGGTAGGCCCTCTCGATGCTGATCACACCCAGTCCTGGTGGGCAGGGGAAGACAATGCAGAGCCTCCCCAGCCTCCTCCTTCAGCCCTTCCCCTCCCAGCCCCCCTCCCCTGCTGTTCAGCGCAGGCACTTACCGATGAGTGGGGTTATGGCCGATGTGAACACAGAACTGCTCTGGACAACAAAGGTCATGCCAGCGCCTACCACCATGGCAAAGTAGCCTGTGACCCAGGTGAAGGGGGCAGGCAAGTCTGCAAGGAAATCCCATCCCAGCAGGCGGGGTCAGTGGGAGAGCACTGGGAGAATAGGCACCCTCTTTGGGACGGAGGTACTTGGATGCCAGTCCCCTGCTTAACTTCAGTGACTTCCACTTCCCCATCTTTGATCTTGCGTTAGAGGCCTCTCTTGCTTGGTGCCGTCATGGTATCATGCCCCAGTTGTTCCCTCTGCCCAGAATATCCTAGTCAGCATCTAAATATGGTCATCCTTTAACATCCACGAAGGTTGGGTCAAGGATGCCTGTGGATACCAAAAGCCATGGATGCTCTAGTCCCTTCAATAAAGTAGTATAGAATTTCCAGACGTGGTGGTGCATGCCTGTATTCCCAGCAGCTTGGGAGGCTGAAGCAGGATTGTCACAAGTTCGAGGCCAGCATCAGCAGCTTAGCTTAGGCCCTAAACAATTTAGTGAGACCCTATCTCAAAATAAAATATTTTTTTTTTAAAAAAAGAGTTGTGGCCCCTGGCTTCAATCCCTGGTACCTACATAAAAATAAATTAAAGAAAAACCTTTTTAAATGATGTAGTATTTACATATAACCTATACACAACCTCCTATATACTTTAACTTATCTATCTCTAGATTCCTTATACTATTTAATAGAATGGAAAGGCTATGCAAATATCTGTTGTATTGTATTGTTTATGGAATAATGACAAGAAAAAGGTTTGCATATGTTCAGGACACATGCCATTATTTTTCTGAATATTGGTGATTCATGGTTGATTGAATCTGTGGACTTAGATCCCAGAGATACAGAGGGTCAACTGTATTTAGCTTCAAGCTCAGCTCAGATAGCACCTGCCTGCTAGGAAGCCCTCCCTGACACCCCCCCCCATAGCCCACCCTTTTTGCTTTTTCCTTCTCTGAGCTCCCTGTTCCCACATGTCATTCAGCCTCTCCTAGTGCCAAGCAGCATCCCCAAAGCTCAAAATGAAGTGAACAATGAAAATCCGCTGATGTCCCTCCCCTGCCCCAAAGCCTGCGTGCTTTCCCATTACCTACAGCAAAGTCCAGGCTGGGAGCAGAGCCTAAAGGCCCTGAGATTTGGCTTCCTCCTCATCCTGACCTCATTCTGCCTAGAGACAGAGCCCTTCTGCTCCCATCACCCTCTGTTTGTACCACAAACCAGACAAGCTGGGTCCTGCTTCTGAGCCTTTGCACTTGCTGTTCTCTTCATCTGGAATGTTCTTCTCCACATTTTTTTTTCTTTTTCTTGCTGAAGACCGAACCCAGGGCCTCACCCATGCTAGACAAGTGCTCTAGTATGAGCTACATTTAGGCCTCAGCTCAAGGTCTCCTTCAGAGACCTCTGACCGCCCCTTGAAAAGCACCATTTCCATACTCTATTGCATTGCCAATTTTGTTCTCCCCTTCGCAGTTACCTTGCCCTTTCTACAAATTTATCCCCCTCATTCATTTATTTTGCACTTCCCATCTTCCCCTTCTGGGCCGAGAGCCCCTTGACATCAGGATCCATCTCTACTTGCCTCACCCCTCTTATCCTGTGGCATGCAAAAGGAGACTAACGTCTATTTGTCGACTGAATTAAACGATGGCCTCTGGGAATCTCCACCAGCTAGAATGGAACTACAGCCAGAGGCAGCCCCAGTTCCTCAGCTGTCAGTACCTCAGGAATTTCCAGAATTACCCAGCCCAAACCCTTCTTTGTTCACACCGGGAAAGAGGCTCACAGATGGTAGGGGTGTGCCCAGATCTAGGCAGTGGCAGGACTTGGCAGGATCTGGAAGGAGCCATTTTGGAGCCCTGCCCAAAGCCCTGTCCTGCAGTCTTCCCACCCACTGCTCATGGCTCACCAGTGTTGATGACCTTCTGGATGACCTTGGCCACCTGGCCCTTGAGCAGAGAGTTGAGCATCTTGACGAGGAGGATGAGGCAGGTACATAGGAGCACCAGGGAGCCAGCCAGCAGGATGAGTCCCACAGCCAGGTCAGGCAGCCCCGTGTCCACGAAGATGTGGTTGCCTGCAGGAGGTGGTGTCAACCGCTGAGAGCTGGCCCCCAATCCCACATTTGCTACCCCTTGGGCTGTGAGCCTAAGACCCCACCTCTTGGGTCACCAGCCCTGACCCAAGTCCAGGAGCTGGGCTGATGGACAGCTGTCTTTCCTGGGGCTGGACGAAGCATGGTTGGGCAGCTCTGTAGCTGCCCTGCCATGTAGGATACCTCCCATGTTGCAGGTACTTACATTTCTCCATGGTAGCATTTCCAAGGGTCTGGCTAGCATTGGCCTCTGCCCTGGACATGGAAGTGGAAACCTATATTAAGAAGAAAGTGACATAGAGAATCTAGGAAAACAGCCTGAGGTTGGGGGCTAAGATGGGAAAGTTGGAGATAAGTCTGCAGGCTCTGTGACCGTGGACAGGTCTTTTGCCCTCTCTGAGCCCAAATCCTCCACTGAAAAGATGTGAATGCAAAACTTGCCACACAAGCATCTGGCTGCAGTAGGTCCCCTGCTTACTCTGTCCATTAAGCCATTGACCTGGCTATCCCTGAGACCAATAGGGGCTTCCTGATTGCCAAATCCAGAAGCATCTTGTCTGTTTTCCTTTCCCTCTCAGTGGCACTGGGTGCCATGGACCATGATCCCCCTTTCCTGAAAACTCTCCCTTCTCCCTTTTTATTATCAGTCTCTTTCTTGGTGTACCTCACTCTTCCCCAGGACATCCTTTCCCCAGAGGCACAGTTTGCCAGCTCCATTCTCTTTTTGCTCAATTTCTTATCCTGAAGGGATCACATAGTAGGGGACAAGTGGTGGGGTCCAGCCCCCACATCTCTTCCTTCTCCACCTACTATCAGTGAAATGAGGGTGTCTCCCAGGGAGACCCAGATTCAGAGGGCCACAGGGCTAGGCAAGTAACCTGGTCTCAAGGCCCAGACAGCACGTGGAGTGGCTGGAGAGTGTGTATGGGGCCTGGAGGGACAGTAACTACTTAGATCTGGGCCACTGTCTCCATCCAGGGACATAGTCCATCATAGACCAATTCTACAAGAAAAACAATTTTGAACTTTTAGATAAAATCTCCCAATCTCTATAAATGCTGTACCCATCCTGAGATATACGTTATGATTCTAGGAAGCACAATTCTAGGGTCAGCAGAAGCAGTAGCCCGTCTGGCCTCTGGACCACCTATTTGTAGCCTCCTTGGATAGCCCCATTGCATTATCCAAAATGCAGCCTGAGTTTCCTTACCTTTCTCCAAAGAGCCCAGAGACAACAGAGTAGTTGGGTGGGTTTGAAGGGGAGAAGCCCATCTCACAAAAGAAGAATTGGGCTTCAGTAAAGAGTGGTAACTCCCAGGGCCACACACCAGCAAGGGCCACCAGGATTCTAAGCAAAATTCAAGAGCTACAACTTCTCCCTGTTTTCTCATTCTGCCTCTGTTGAGAGGCCCTCAGGGGCTCTATGTCAGGGACCTTCCGACCCTGACCCCCTCTGTTGCTGAAGATCTGGGATTAGCTGGGGTATTGGCACCTTGACGCTTACGGTTACTTTAGGTTTTGTTCCAAACTATGTGCCATTTAAAAAAATGTGTGACGGGCTGGGAACGTAGCTCAGTGATGCAGCATTTACCTAGTAGGCAAAGGCCCTAGGTTAGATCCCAGCACCACAGGGGGAAAAAGATGGAGATAAGAACTGTTTATGGCATCTGGTTTTAACATCAGGGTTTATTTTAGTGGGATGAGTTCCCTCAAATGAGACAATGTGCTCATCTGCCTTCTCAGTTTGCTGTGTCCGACCCTTGGGGTACCATCAAGCCTGGAGGCCTGAATTGCAGGCCAAGAAATAGAGAGAAAAATCATCTCTGATAGCTAGAATGGAAAACCAGGCTGGGGAGTGATGGTAGCTACTGTGTCAGCAAGGGAGAGAGCTGGGTGTCAGGGAGATAGAGAGCCAGGTGTTTGCTGTTGAGCAGATTTGAGTTCAAATTCTTTTTTTTTTTTTCTCTTTCAGTACTGGGTGTTGAATCCAGGGGCACTCTACCACTGAGCTACATCTCTAGACCTTTTAACTTTTTATCTTGAGAGAGAGTCTCACCAAATTACCCAGGCTGGCTGAATTTGTGATCCTCCTGCCTCAGCTTTCCAAATTGCTGGGATTACGGTCATGTGCCACCACAGCAGGCCAAATCTTACTTCTCATACCAACTACTTGGATCAGTCAAGCCACCTCTCTGAGTCAGTTTTTTTTTTTTTTTTTTTTAAAGCAGGATAGTAGCTTGGGTGATGACTCAGTGGTAGAGCACTTGCCTAGCACATGTGAGGCACTGGGTTCAATCCTCAGCACCAAAGAAAGAAGGAAAAAAAATAAAGCAGGATAATCTTGGTTCATGACAAGCTTTCAGTAAATTGTGTCTCCAAACAAGCAATAGATGATTTCCCTCCCCCGACCCATTCAGGGTCATGTGGAATGTGGTTGAATTCCTAGGTCAGGACCAATGGCTCTGGCAGACGTGCCCAAGGATCCTGACCCTGTGGGGAGGAGCTTGGTGACCTTCCTCGGGGTGCCCGGCCTGGAGGCCTAGAAAGCAGATGACTCCCTGAGATAATTGAGTGCCTGTCCGACCCGTCCCCACTAACACTAACCTTCCCTGGTCTCGGCCCAGGGATCTCCTGGGAGAGGGGCTTGTGGGATCCTGGAGAGGCTAGAGGATGATGAGGAGCTTTGCTGGGGTCCCACCTTAGGGAAAGTCAGGGACAGGGCAAGGCGGAGGGCTCAGACCTTTGGTTTTGGTGTTTGTTCTGTTTTGCTTTGGGTGCTGGAGGACTGAACCCAGGGCCTCACACACGCTACACATAAGCCCTACCACTGAGCTATTTCCCAAATCCCTCTCTGGAGTTTTAAAATGTTGATTTTTCTATTTGGGGGTGAACCCACGAGAGAAGTTAGAGATCTTAAAGGGCAAAAGGGGAATGTAGAGGTAGCGGCAGGGCAGAAAGGTGGGTAGCCTGCAAAGTCAGCTCCCATGAACCAAGGGAAGGGAGCATACCCTGGGGCTTTTTGCAGGACAAAGGGAACTGATGGAAACTCCAGCCTAAATAATAGAGCTGGAAGGCCCAGGATCAGGAGCATATTCCTTGGATGTGACCATCCTGTCTGGGCCTGCGGTGGAGGTGGAAGCTGGAGGAGAAGAAAACAGGTTGGGGAATGAGTGTTGAGGGTGGAACAGAGTGAATGGGCCTTCCATACCCCTGGGCTCCCCCCAATAGCTGAGCCATTTTCAGCTGTGGGACACTGAACCACACACTTAAGCCTCTGGCCTCCGTAGCCTCCTATAGGACCTGAGGTCTACAATGCTGTGACTTTCCCCAGGAGCTTGATTGGAAGGATCTTAGAAGAGGGAGTTGGGATTTTAATGCCTGCAGGGACACGCCCAATTAAGGAGACGCTTCTGGGAACGGAAGGAGGTTATTAAGCTCAGAGAGGACTGTTGGGTTCCAAGAATCCTTTCCCAGGGGAGACACACTCAGGGTGTGTGCCAGTGAAATAGTTTTCCCCCTGGAGGAAGGGGAGCTCCAGGTCTTTGTTCCTCCGAAGGCCGGACAACTCCGGACCACCAGCGCCATCTGGTGGCTATGAGGAGAATTCTTGAGAACGACACCCATTTTCCACCTTGGAATGTCTCTCAGAGTGGCCTGTGACATTCTCAAGTTACTCTGTGGCATTCAAGCCCAGGGGTGGAATGGGAAATAAACACATATAGTGGAACCCCAGGCTGGAATCTGGGAAAGGTAGCGAGATGAGGAGTCAGAATTCTACCAGGACTTGCGCCCCATCTCAATTACATGAATTAAAGCAAACCACTGTGCCTCTCCAAGGCTATAATGCTTGCGTCCCATGTTGCAAGTCCTCAAAAGATGCTTGTTTAAATCAGGCAGGTATGGTTGGCAATCCGCAATGTAATCACACAAGAAGGTAATTCCTAGGGTAGTGCCAAGGTTCTTGGAACCTCCAGAAATGTTTGAAAAATCAGCCTCTGTTTTTTTTTTTTTTTTTTCTTTCTCCAGTCTCCTATTCTTTCCTTGGTGACATAGGTTTCCTGGAGAATGGTTTGGTTAAGGTCAGGTCTCACATGATGAAAGCTGGAGGCAATGAGAAGTGGCTGGAAGTATAGGGGAACTTTGTGCAGTCTTTGGTACAGGAGGAGTCACCAAAGCTTATCACAAGAGCACACACAATGCTGCATGAGTCCCATTCTCATAGGGACAGTCCCAGAGGGAGGGTGAGAGCAGGGATCTCAGATCCCCCGCCCCCAGCTACTTTCCAAGCCAAGAAAATCCAACCTGCTCTTCAGGGATAGGTTTCCTGATGGAGTGGGGACATGAAACCAGTGCTTTGGCAATTGACAGCTGGGGCGGAAGAGAAGAACCTGAGGATAGCCCCAGCCAGGTGAACTTGGATAGTTAGTCACAACACTGAGCTTTAGCTCCCTTTAGTGTAAAATGGGGTCCTGTCGTCCTCTTTGTCAGCACTGCAGGAGGATTATCCTGGGTGAGGAGGCACACCCTGCAAACGGGACCTCAATACTGCTCAATGCTGCAGCAGGTGGACAGTGGGCCTCTCAGAGGAATGAAGCTCTTTTCCATGGCTTGTTTTTTTTTGTGGGTGTGTGTGAAGATCAAAAGGTGTGATTCTCTCTCTTTCGCCTTTAACACTGGAAGTAGAGAGGCGGTGGTATTCCAGAGAGCTCACAGAGTGCTCAGAGAGCTCTTGGGTGACATGTTAAAGAGGTCACAAACCAAGCTTAAAAGCTATCTACAAGGGCTTTTTGATGTCAAGCTGCCTTGAACTCTCAGAAGGCCTGAGCTGGAGCTGTGTGCCACTTCAGATGCAAAGGAACTCTGTAGGGCCACTCGATTGAGTGCTTTCTGTTCATGCTGGGATAAAGGTCCAGTAACATCAAGTAGTAAGTGGAGAGAATGAGGGCAAAGGACTTGTATTGTGGGCTTCAGATTTCCTCGTAGCTTGTTCTAAATGGCATCACTCCTTATATGCAGCAGTTCAGAGGCAAATTTGGGAGATCATGGTTTGGTTGAAGCATTTTCCTTTTTATGGCTGAGTAAGAAAGTGTGCTAATTGCTTGTGTCCTGTTAGCCTGGTATAATGGCTGGTCCATCACTCCTTATATGCAGCAGTTCAGAGGCAAATTTGGGAGATCATGGTTTGGTTGAAGCATTTTCCTTTTTATGGCTGAGTAAGAAAGTGTGCTAATTGCTTGTGTCCTGTTAGCCTGGTATAATGGCTGGTCCATGAGTGTCCAACCAATCTGAACAGTTTTTTATTCCAGGCAGCAGAAACTGTGCAAAGGCATAAGGGGCTCATATCTGTAACAGTCTCTAGACGGAGCCCCTATGCCAGCAAAAGTGGCTACTGTGTCCCCAAGGCAGTCTCCATGCAACAGCTCACCTGGCCTGCTCCCGAGCCAAATTCCTGTTCATCTTACTCTTCCCACTCCCTCCTCACATTGCTTGGGCCCCAAAACATGGTAGAGCTGAGTCACTAACCCTACTGGTACACTCTGGGCTCTGACAGAGTAGGACAAGTTCTGGCAAATTTCATAGTCTTTCTGAGCCTGTGTCTCTACCTGTGAAACCAGAGGGTTGAACTAGATCAGTGGTTCTCAAACTTGAGCATGGAGCAGACCCAGAGGGTTTGTTGAAGCTTAGACTGCTGGGCCTCACCCTGAGTTTTTCTGATTCAGTAGGTCCAGGGTAGGCTGTATATCAGATGCACCTGATTTGCATCTACTTTGCATCTCCAATATGTTCCCCAGTGGTATTGATGCTGCTGGTCCAGAGAAAATACTTTGAGAATCACTAGGCTAGATCAATTACATGCCAACTCTAATTGATTGGTGATGTCTGCCTGAAGCAGTGTGTGAGGCTTGGGGGGATTCGCAATGTCTGCCATGGGCAGAGTGTCACAGAAAAAAGTGCCACATATATACTCTGTCCTGGTTAAATGATCCCCAAGGTCTATTGAAACCAATAGACCAAGTCTGAGACTCACCTCCAAAGGTTCTGGGTTGCACCAGATTCGGATGAGACTGTGGTTCCTCAGGGACTCATCCCCTGTGGCAATGCTGGTGATCACAGACTTGTCCAGCTGTGGGCAAGATGAGGGCAGAGGGAGTGAGGATGATGGCCCTTATTATCCTCCACCCCATGTCAAGCACTGGCCCCCACCTGGATAATGAGCTTTGTGAAGGGCTCCGTGATGATCTTGAGAAGGTCAGGGGCATCACGGCCACCACGGATGTTGAAGGAGGCGACCACGAGTCCAGTGACATGGTGCAGGTAGCCCGTGGCAGCCTCAAGGGGCAGCAGGACCAGAACGGACAGCCAGTTAAAGCAGTCGTGCACTGTGGCCCCCGCGAAGGCCCTGGACAGGGAGGCTACGTTGCAGGGCAGCCTAGAGCCTGGGTGTGCTTGTGCTGGGGCTCTGGGCATGCAGGGCTGTCCACCCCCCACCGCCACCACAAGCTTAAGCCTCCATCCTAGTCCCCCCAGCCTCACCGCCGGAAGTCAGTTCTGTCTCCTGCCTGCATCAAAGCCACGATGGTGTTGGTGACAGAGGTACCAATGTTGGAGCCCATGATGATAGGGATAGCAGAGCTCACCTCCAGCACTGGGAGAATCAGGAACCTCTTAGCCAACTGGGTGGGTGCCACCTAGCTTCACACCTACAGGAGCTCCTGCCAGACCCATGACCCATGTCCCAGCCCCAAACAGCCTTTGCTGCCATACTGTTGATTGCCAAGACGGAAGGCCACAGGTCCATATGGGCACGTGTTGTGTATTCCCAAGTGTGTGTCTTGCAATTGTGTGACTAGAGGCGAATGGGTGCATGTATGAGAGTGTATTATGAGGACTCATGTGCCATATGCAAATATATATTTGTGCTTGTGTATGCACAGACACATGGAGTGATGGCTGGCTTTATGTCAATTTGGCTAGTCTATAGTACCCAGTTATTCAGTCTAGCACTAATCTGGGTGTAGAGCTATTTCATAGCTGTGATTCTCATCTACAATCAGCTGACTTTAAGTAAAGAAAATCATCCTTTTATTTTTTAAAATATTTATTTTTTAATTGTAGTTGGATGCCATACCTTTATTTTATTTATTTTTATGTGGTGCTGAGGATCGAACCCAGGGCCTTGCACACCCTAGGTAAATGCTCTACGGCTGAGCGGCAACCCCAGCCTCAGGCAATCATTCTTGATAATCTAGGTGAGTCTCATCCAATGGGATGAAAGGCCTGAAGACACAAACCGAGGCTTCCCTGAGGAAGAACTCCTACCTATGGACTACAGCGTTGGCTTCTGCCTAAGAATTCTAGTTTGACCTTCCACATGGCCTGCCTGTGGTTTTCAGACCTGACTAGCCAGCCTCACAATTATGTAAGCCAATTCTTTGCAATAAATTATATATATATATATATATCCTACAGGTCTGGTTTCTCTCACTGGTGCAATGCATGACTATGTGGCCATCTGAAGATGAGCTCTCCATTTGCTCCCCTCCCCAGCTTCCCGGGGTACCCCCTCTGGCTCAGATTCTTGGCCAGACTTTAGAAGACAGAGTGGGAGATGCTGGAACCCTGCCCTTTGTCCTCAGTTCCCTGTCCCTGCTCCTGCCCCCATCCCTCAGCCCTGACATGCTTCCCTAGCCCTGCTGGGCCAACTCACAGCCAGAGGAGACCATGCTGACAATGATGGATGTGGACGTGCTGGAGCTCTGCACCAGCACGGTCACCAGAATCCCTACCACCAGTCCCGCCACGGGATTAGACAGGATGGCATTGTCCTTGAAGATGTCACCAGCCACCTTCCCTAGGAAGCACAAGCCAGCATTGTCTGAGGTCCTTCCAAGACCCTTCCCCATCCCTGTCCACCCAGGCCCTACCTCCAGCCAGCTGGAAAGCTGAGCTGAGCACGTCCAGGGAGCAGACAAAGAGGTAGAGGAAGGCCAGCATCAGTGGCACCTTGAGGAGCATCACACCAGCCTGGTGCAGCTTCTGGGCCAGCCCAGGCTCTGGAGGTGGGCCAGGCATGAGCAAAGTGGACCGGGGACCAAGGCAGTGACTGCCCATGCCCTTGCCATCCCCCCGCCTGGCCCACCTGGCTTCTGCTCCTCCTCCAGGGCCAGCTTGGCAGGTAGTGGGTCAGGGCACTCCAGGACCTCCCCATAGGGGCAGCTGTGCTCTGTGAGGGCCACTGGGCTCAGGCTGGGGAAGGCATAGGCAGATGTCCCTGGGATCCTGTGCAGGACTGAGGTTGGTCAGAAGTTACCAGAGGCCCTAGCAGCCCAGGGACAGAAAGAGAAGGGACAGAAGGATAGGGACCTCACCCAGGATGTGGGCAACTGTGGGCAAGCAGGGTCTGGGTTGTGGGAACAGCACTCACCCTGTGGGCTGGGCACATAGGCGAAGGCTGCCCCATGTACCATGTGCCCTGCGCGGACTGGAAGTGGGGAGACGGCAGGGGCCCCCAGCCTGTCTCCATAGGACATCATCCTGGATACCTGCATGTCAGGGAGCAGTGATGTGAGGGACAATTGCTGTGTCCTGGATACTCACACCTACACACATGTAGATGCACATGCATGAACACCCATGTTGTGTGGTGCCACCCAACCTCTTCCTGGACAAAGTCAGAGATGCACCTCAGGAGCTCAGCACAAATATGGGCATCTATGCATTCATTCAGCAAGTTTTATATTGTGTATGTGGTACTGGGGGTTGAACCCAGGGCCTCACACACACTAGGCATGTGCTGTTACCACTGAGGTGCATCCTTAGCCCCAGGAAGAATTATTATTGATGATGACAATAGTACTAGGGACGAACTCGAGGGTGTTTTATAATTAAGTGGTGTCCCTAACCCTTTTTATTTTGAAACAGGGTCTTGCTCAATTGCCCAGGTTAGCTTCAAACTTTTAATCCTCTTGCCTCAGCCTCCCAAGGTCCAGCAGATATTTTTGAGCATCTACTCTATCCAGGCTGTGAGCTAAATGCTGGGGTACAGTGGTGATTCAAGACAGAAACAGCCTCTGCCCTCAGAAAGCTTAAAGTCTAGTGGGGAAGCAGACATTTTGAATTAATCTCTCAGTGGATGGAAAATGGTGAAGGGTGTTTTGATAGATAAGATTAGAGTACCCGCAGTAGGTGTGGGCTCATGGGGGAACAAAGAAACAATCAAGCTGAGATAACTGGATGCAGAGGAAAAAGGGCAGATGTGCATGGGGAAGGAGCCCTGGAACTGGGATGGTGGCCATACACAAGCTAGAGAGAGCCAGGGAACAAGCAGTGTCAGCAGAGGCTGCCTGTGTGGGCCAGGGCGGGGCCATGCAGGATATTTTTCCATCCTAAGAGCAAGGACAAACCATGGACACCTACAGGCTCATGGGATCAGAAGTGCACACTCTTGAGTCTGTGGTTCCCTGTCCTGGATCCCAAAGTCTTGGATTCCCTTTACCATGCACTTCTGTCCCCCAAGTGGCAATGAACAACTACTGAGAGTCTTTTCCACAAATGAGGCTCAGGCCAGGAGCTCTCTAAGGTACCCCCTGCACTGTCCCAGGAGCTCCTGGCTACCGGGGTGGGGTACCTCAGCTTGCCTCAGCATCTCGCTCCACTGTTCTCAGGCCCTTGACTATCCAAGCAGAGGAGGGTGCAGAGCTGAATTTCAAACCCCAGAAGAGAGTTGGGACTATAGCTCCCTGAACAAAAGAAAACAAATCAAACCCAGGAAGAGCATGAATTTTTTTTTACTTTGAGGGAGTGAGGCGGGCTGGGCTGGGATTGGGATGTTACTGGAAGCAGGAAATGGGATCACAGAGAGAATAGAGACAGGGCTGAGTGATGGTTATTTCCTACTAAGAGTTGGGGAGCGGGTAGTAGGAGTAGGATGTGGGGTTCCTAGACTCACCTTGAGGTTCTTTGTTCCAGCTCCTGTTCCAGCTCAAAGAAGCCTGCAGGGGCCTAAGGAGGAGCTGGGACCCTCTTCTTTATACCTTTGGGTCAAGGGCAAAGTCCCTAAAATCCTAGCTACCCTCCCTCTGTTCCCCGATTAACCTCACCCCTTAGATTCCTCCCAGTTAATTGCTAATCGTCAACTCTGCAGGGGGAGTCTGTGGTCAGGCTGTCCCTCCTCCACACAGACACTCACCCAGACAGGGTGCAGACACATCCCCTGCTCCCACGCACAGGTACTGACGCCCCATACACCTTGTTCTCAAGGTCCTGAGAGAGATCAGGTAGCTCCCGCTCCTTCCCTTCCTTCCTGTCCTCACTGGACTCCCCAGAGAGTGGCGCCTCAGAAAGTGAACCTCCTGTGGCCTTTTCATGCATCTGGGGAGTTTGTGGGACTATCTCTGGGACGTCTGTGATGTCTGAGAGAAGGAATATGGGAGGGAGGAAGCACCAGGAGATAAATCCAGAGAGGCTGGGGTGTTGACTTGTGGAGGTCTCCGGTACCTGACCATGGATCCAAGATGAGAGACTGTTACCAGAGTCTTTGGGAGAAGACCCCAGCCCCAGTGGTCCCAGGCTCTGCCACACATCCCAATATGCCAATCAAAGAGAGGATCAGCGGTAAAGGGCAGGCAAAGAGCTTTAATCAGTATGGCCATGCCGGGAAGAACAGAGACAAGAACACAGGAACCAAAGATCTGTCTTCAAGGAATTGACAGAAACTTTCAGCTTTGTAAAACAAAACAAAACAAAACAAAAACAAAAAACGAGGAACAAAGGGAAGGGTTGGGGGCTTGTGTGGTGGGGTGTGGGGGATGGTGGTTGCATAGCTGGGTAGGTCATCTTGGTCAGGACTGGTTGATCATTATCTCAGGACTGGATCTGTGAAGCTTTGAGAAGGACATCAATGCTTGAGCAGGCAATCGGGCTCCCACTTAGGGGGGCAGTTCTGGTTTTGTCATGGGGTCATTGCTGCCGCTTAAAGGGACAATCTCATCATAGAATGATCTGTTCTGAGAGACTCACTGTTGCTTGGGGGTAGTTTGGGTCATAAAGATGCTTATCAACAATGCCTGTTGATCCTGGAATGCAAGATAACTGCAGAAGAAAGTGACTCAGAGGAAGGGGGTGTTAAAAATGCAAAAGGAGTCAGAGAAGGACAAAATGGAGTTGGTTAGGTCCGCAATAGGCCCCTCCTTCAAGACTGTTGGAATGTGAAGCCACTGGCCAGACTGGGAAGTGCTTTATCTGCATTTTAGATTGATTTCTCTGGGATGGAGTTGTGATGTATCAAAAAGGAGGGGATCTAAGCTGGATGCAGTGGTGTACGCCTGTAATTGCAGCAGTTTGGGACGTTGAAGCAGGAGCATCGTGAGTTCAAAGCTAGCCTCAGCAACTTAGAGAGGCCCTAAGCAACTCAGCGAGACCCTGTCTTTAAATAAAATATTAAAAAGGGCTGGGGATGTGGCTCAGTGGTAAAGCACCCCTTCAATCCTCAGTACCCCCCCCCCAAAATAATATAAATGGAGGAGATCTAGAAACAGAGAGACCAGTTAAAAGGTCCAGGGAAGAGATGTGAGGCTGCACTAAGGTGGGAACAGAAAATATAGCGGAGAGGATGCATCCTAGAGATACTTGGGCAGTAGAACCGATAATGGGGGGCAGGAAGAAGAGAAAAAAAATATGATAGGATTGGGAGTCTGATGATGGTACATGGACTACGTGGAATTCTGGAGATACAGAGGAGTCTTAGGGAACATTTGAGAAGCTTATTTCCCTTTTATGGGACTGTGGAGCCTGAATTGGGGCCTAGATTCACAAAGTAATAAGAAAGTAGCTTTTGGATGAGATTAAAGATTCGAAAAGATAAGCAATTGTGAATTCTACTCAAGAGCTAGCTTAGGAACTGAGCAAACTGCCTAACATCATCAATCCATCCTCCTTGTGGCTCATCCATTCACCACCAATCCATCCCCCTCGCTCCCCAGCCCGCCCGTGAGGGATGTGTCTGTCCATCCACTCCTCAGCACATCAGTTGAGTTCCTACTCCATGATGGGCCAAGACTGGCAAAGTCAGCTTCTCGTCTGGTCTAAGCAATATCTGATTCAGCTTAGGATTCAAAGGCAGGTCACTTCACCTCTCTACTTTTTTCACCTATAAAATGTCAATTAATTAGCAGTGTTTCTTCTGCAAGTTGAGACCCACGACCCATCCCAGTGTTTAGGACAGCCCCTAGGACTGTCCTTTCAGTTGTGTCCTTCATCCTTTCATGCCCTTTTCACTGAGCCTGCAGGATACCGAGATGCCCCAGCCACAGGGATGGCCCTGCCCTATGTCACGCCAGCAACTCTTCATGACTTACCAGCTGTCCTTTGATTTCTCAGGGTCCCTTGAGCGGCAGTCCCACTTAACATCTTCAGGGTAAGGCAGACCCAGGCTTTTTCCATCAAGGAGGATGAACATTTCTGCACATTTGACAATTAGGTTAACTAGTCAATATTTAATTGATAGTCTGAGCACAGCAGTCATCCACTAACTTTCTGTGAAGTGACCAGGAGCAGAGAACAAGCCAGCCCAGATTTGGATCTGTTCTCGACCACAAAATGACAGTTTAGCACACAGAATGCACAGGGGTATAGGGTAGGGGAGGTGGAGGTGCTG